TTTTCTTTCAATTCATTTTTCCTCGATGACCTTTTACTTTAAACGTTCTGGATTTGGGTTCAACTTGTAGCTATTGTAACTTCGTGACATACTCCATCGAGTCGCATTTCATATTTCATAACCCTGAATGGATCTACGCAAGACAGATAATGGAGATAAAACAAGCACCGTTGCCAATTTCATTTACCTAGGCCGAAATTGATCTAATAAAACCACATGAAGCGAAAGAAAAAGAGGATTGAAAAAGACAGCCGTTGTGACGAGTCAGCGCTAGATGATTGATATTGAAGTCGTCAGAGAAATCCAAAGGTGGGACATCCTAAAGAAACAAGGAAAAGGAAAACAGTAGCGACAGAAAGCAAGAGAAGCAGAGACACTCTGATAGTACATGCTGTTTTCATAAGAGTAAAATCATGGGAGATATGAAATTCATTCATTCTGTGGGTAGGAACCAAGTATTGCAATTTCTTTCCGTTCACCACTTTCTTATATCCCTTTTTTGTTTTTACTTCTTGTGTTTCCTTTATTTCTCGTAGTCTAGCGAGACTTTTCCGCGTTGCTACTATGACTAAGAAAGGTACAAGAGCAAGAATAGAGTCAAAGAATACCACAATTTGGGCTTGGGATCTACCATTCAAATTCGCCTTGGCCCTTGCGGAAGACGTATCTAGTACAGTTAATAACCATCCTCAAATAATGTATGCATAGTCCGGAAAGGGAAGAAGCTTACTCTTTACCGCCAGTGGTCAGAATACCGTCCTTTAATGTACACTTCCACTTGTTTTTCACCCGCTGCACCTTGTCATAAGTACAGAGCATAACCTGTCCAACGGCGTCTTCAGCTTCATTCTCATCAGCCTCGTGGTCTTCAGGATCATCTAGGTCGGAGTTAATAGCATCTTCATCGTCTTCCTCTCCCTCGTCATCGCCGCCAGGACCGTCGAATTGTGCTTGTGCCCGGGGTGCTTGTGCAATCGAAATCGACGAAGCTGGCTCTGCATCAGGGGCCGCGATATCAGCAGCAAGTTTCCGTGTTGTAGAAGATGATGGCTTTTGTTGACGCTCCTCCAATGGAGCGAGAAGACCACCACCCTCCATGTCGAGCATACGCTGTTTCAAGTGCTCACGGAGGATTCTGTCGTTCTGACCCGGCTCACGCTGGGCAGCTTCCCGCCGTCGAGCAACCTCTGCTTTCCATTCTGACAGTGCGTCACCGGCGCCATCGGTTTGAGCATTACCCAGGAACTGTTGGTTCATGGGCGGGTAACCGGGTTCCTGCTTGATCAGCGGGGCCTGGCCATTGGACACCTGGTACTGCTGCTGCTGCTGCTGCTGCTGCTGCTGTTGTTGTTGTTGTTGCTGAGGCTGAGAGTTCTGTGGACGCGGCTGTCCTGGCATGGTCAACGGCGGTGGCTGTGACGGTGACTGTGACTGAGCTTGAAGCTGGCTGACGGAATTGGCGGCAGCAGCCCCGAATCGTTGTTGCATTAAGGTGGCAGCACGTTCACGAGCCAACTGAGAGTTTGGGTTTGCTGACATTATGTTATTCATGGGAGGGTACCCTGCTTGACCGTTCAATCCAGGCTCAGTCTTGATGTAGGGTTGTTGGTTCATATTGGGGGCTGCTCCAACGGGTGTGGGCGCCTGGAGCGGAGGCACTGATCCGGAGACAGATTGTGGTGTTGAGTGAGGAACATGTTGTTGTTGGGTTTGAGGGGGATTAGGTCTGGGAGCATTTGATGGAACGGTCGCAGTAGGAGGAAGGATCTGGTTCTGCGACTGAGCCGGGGCAGCTTGGGGCGGCGGCGGGTCCCATGGGAATTGGGCAACGGCAAGCGACGAGAGTTTTTTCTGCCAGCTCTGTAATCAAAGTGTTAGCCTGATAAAGGTAGAGGTGTGATGGTATGAAGAAAAATGCAGATAAAAAATGTACAGTCCCATGCTCAGGCAACCGTCCGAATCCGGCAACCGGGGGCGTGCTTGGCGCTGAGGCTCCTATAAAAGAGGTCTCTAAAAGGCGGTGGCTTCCCCTCACACAGCTTCCCGCACCCTCCTCAAGATGACTCACGAGAACGACGAAGAACGATGAAAAAAAAAGGAAAAAAAAAAAAAAGAACATACCTGTCGCAGGTCTAACAACGTCTGCTGGTCCACACCACTCTCTTCGAAATCAACCTGAGAGGAATCACAGACCTCCTGAATGACGAGATCGAACACCGTGCCCTGTGGGGAGATCACCGTGGTATCAGCTTCAAAATTCTAACAACAGCAACGAGATGGCCAGGATCTATCATAACTAAACAGAATGAAAGAAGGAAAGACACCGGGAACAGCTATAACTCCCAGTGAATTCCCCTAGGAAAAGGACTCGTCCACTCACCACCAGCTGGTTCGACATGGTCGCTGGGCGAGAGGGAGATCAGGAATGTATCCGTTCAAGTATTTTCTCTTTTCTTTCTTTTCTTCTGATTTTCCTCTTCTTTTCTTTCACTAAAACAAAAAAAGCCTATCAAATAAAAGAGATGATGATGGTTTTGTTTCTCTGGCTTAAGACTCCGGTCGGTTGCCACAGCAGGCGTCTAATAACGAGCAGAACAGAGCGAACAACTCCCCAAGCACCAAAATAACCTAGAGCAGGGATTTGCGACGGACGATACAACACGTTTGATGGCCTAAACAATGCACTTTTCGATCTGGAGGGAGACGGGGAACAGCGAACGGGCTGGGCGTCAACGGGAGGATTTGGGGTGATGGAAGGGGAAAGTTGCGATTTCCCCGGCGAAAGTAGAGCCGCCCCGGTGCTTAGTCAGCACGTCGATCGATCTCGTCCCAAAGTGTATTGTACTCTGTAGTAGAATCTATTGTAAATTCACCTGATAATGGTATAGGCAGTAAATGAGTAAAAGAGTACCGTATGTGCATTAATCCCGAAACCCTAAGAATATCCAATGTCCCTAATGTCCATACAAGAAGAGAAGAGCGCCCCAAAATAGTATCCAATGTGCATCCAACTCCTCCCAATGACCTAGGAACTGTAGCCTTCCAAAACGCCTTGAAAAAGAAAATGAATAACAAAAAGCAATCTACCGGATGGTCATCGACTTGTTCATCTTCGCCTTGCTACCAACACCTCCTTCGCGAGAAGCCGAAGCACTGGTGCCAGCCTTGCGTTCAAACACCTTCCAGAACTTCAAGCTCTCGTCCGCGGCAGCGGTAGCCAGGAGCTGACCGTCCGGACTCAGCGAGCTGTGCAGAACACGAGTTTCGTGCGCAGGAATCTCGATGTTGCGGACCAGGGTCGGGTAACTCCAGATGCTCAGCGAGTTGTCCGGGAATCCACTCGAGCTGACAATCTCCCGGTAGTGGTTGCTCCACCGCAGACTGGTCACTTGCGAGCCGGTGTCGATGCTGTTGGTACGGGCACCGGTGGTGGTGTTCCAGAAGTGGATATGACGGTCATACGAACCGCCTCCGGTGGCCAACAGGTTCAATTGCCAGGGGCACCAGCTGAGAGCCTTGACGGCGGCGCGGTGGTTTGTCTTGGTAAACTTAGGGGCGCTGAGGGACCGGGCATCCCAGATATTAACCAGGTTGTCGTTACCGCCCGTCGCAAGCTGTGCGCCGTCAGAGCGCCACTCCAAGCCGCAGACTTCCGATGTGTGGGAAACGAGCTCTGCCACCTTGTGCTGGGCAATACGGACGTCGTGGTTGTAGACAAGACCGCTGCGTGCACCAGTGGAGAGAGTATGCTTGGACCAGCCCATAACACCGACACGGGAGTCGTGGCCGTACATGCTTCGAAGCTTGGTCCCCTCTTCAACGTCCCAAATCTGAACCTCACCCGTGCCCAGACCAACACCTACATAAGCACCATCACCGCTCCATTTGACACTACTCACATACGTATCAGGGGAGGTCTCCATCAGGCAGTCAACAGACCCGCTGTCGGCGGACCACACGTAGACATTGCGCTCGAGACCAATAGCCACCTGGTTTCCAGAGCTCCAGTCGAGGAGATTGAGATAGTAGTCGTCGAGTAGGCCGGGGGCGTCGAGAACACGCTCTGGAGCCGTCTGAATTCTCCGACGGAACTGGGCGGACTGTGACTTGCTAGGCTTGAGAGGACGGTTGTACTGAGCCCGAAGGTCAATGGGCTTGGACGACTCGGGCGGAGGAGGCTTGAAGGCAAGGATTTTGGTGTTCAGGTTCACACCACAGGCATCGGCCAGTGATGACTCGTACGCAACCGCATCCGGTGCTGGTCGTGTGTATGAAGAAGTGGAGGCCTCGTTATCTTCCAAGCCCAAGTTGTCAAGCGCCGCTGTGAGTTCCTCGTCGCTGCTTCCACGACCACCAATATCAAAAGCGCTAGCTGCGCTGGCAAGCACAGAAGAACCTTCTTTGCCATTGCCACTGGTCTTTGGGCGCTGGCTTTCCTCCGGCTTCGCAGTACCAGCAGTTGCGAGCCCTTCACTTGCGGTGCGGTTGGGAATAAATCGGTCACCAGCATTGTGCGGAACGCGAACCGTGGTCTTGCCAGATCGTGTGCGGGTCGAGATTTCTTTGCGTGCGGAGGGCTCTTTACGTGTACGCTCGTTGGCCGAAGGAGACTGCGAGGATGAGGGACCAGTACCAGTCAAGGTCCACTCCGAAACACCCAGCTCCAGGTGCTTCGGGGACTTGCGGATACGGGCGATGTTGGACTTGGGAGATTCACGGTAACTCCGAGAAGCTCTCGTCGAGACTGACTTGGTGAAGTATTGTGTGAGGTTTCCTCCATAGACAGACTTCTTGTCATCTTTGCTGAACTCCGCTGGGTCACGGGAGGGGGTGAACGGGGACGAGTGGTTTGACGTGACGCTCTCAGCTCTAGGACGAGGAGACGGAGTGAGAGGCATGCGACCTCCAGCTGTTTTGGAAGCAAAGATGCCTCGATGGGACTTCACTGGCGTTGATACCGTTGGCGTAGCCATTGCGGCGTAGAATGGTCAGAACGTATGTGGACAAAGGGATGCAAGTATGGAACAACTGCAAAGCGAAAAGCAGAATTAGTGAAGAATAAATGGCAATATAGACCAGTTAATTAGGAAAAGAGAAAAGGGAGGAGAATGGGAGGGAAAAGGATGTAGAAGAGAGCAAAAAGGAGCCCGGAAGAGGAAGAGAATAAATAGAGAGTATAGTTCTTCTTCGCCGGGGCAACCGTTACCTGAGGTACGGCTGCACTAGTCCGGATCTGGACAGGTATCCACCTGACATGGGGCTGCTTTCCCAAATGGGCAAGGCTCATCTTGGCAGATCACGTTACTTTTTATAGCCGCTTTACTCTAAAGCAGCAGCATTGTTTGTGGGCAGAACCTCCATCGCAAACGAAATACAATGTGAACACTCTAGCATTCAATAATCGAGACTCTTTATTTCATTCTATTGACCTTTTTTCTCGTGAGGGTTGGTCTCCGTCGGGCCCCTAAGCCAACTGTCCCTAGGGTCTACCCTGATGGCACGGCAACCATCAGCGTTCCCCACTCTGGCCCCTACACCATCCTCCATACTCGCTACCACCGCGCCAATCGTCCTGGATGGTGTCTCCAGGCCCAAATCCAATGAACCAGTCTTCTGTGTCCGGCCAGCAGCCATATCTCATGCCCTCCAGTCCCGCCGCCACCCGTCGGAGCAGTGCGGACGACCGCCCGAGCATTAAAAAGGCCCAGGGCCATGTCCCCGCATGCTTGGTCAATGCTTCCGTGACGTATGTTGGAAACGATCAGATCTACGCCTTTGGAGGATTTGATCAATACACCGACGAAGGTTTGCTTAAATTCAAGAGAACGTAATTGGATTTCGTACTAATGTACTATGGAATAGTGTACAACCACGTTCTGAAGCTGGACCTACAGACCCTTCATTGGGAATTGGTGGATAACTATGGGGATATTCCCGGAGTTCGCATGGGTTCGTGCAACTATTCTTTTTCCCGTTACGGAGTACAGGGTTAATTGGTCTATTTCTTGTATATAGGTCACACTGCGACCCTCTACCAAGGTGACAAATTGATTGTATTTGGAGGAGAAAACGAACATCGCGAATATCTGTCCGACGTCGTCATCTTTGATATCCCCACCTCCACTTGGTCACAACCAGAGATTCGAGGTCCGATCCCACGAGGAAGAAATCGTCATGCTGCCGTGATTTACGAGGATAATCTGTTTATCATTGGTGGAGTGACGGGAGAGCACAGTGTCATTCTCGACAGTCTGACTTACCTGGATTTGAAGACCTGGACCTGGTCTCGGACCTGGAACTTCACTCCCCGCTTCGATCATACGGCATGGGTCTGGGGTGGTCGTCTCTGGATTTTTGGAGGACTTGGTCCGGACATGGAGCGGACAACCGATATCTGGTGGCTTGATCTCAAAAACTCTCCATCTCTTGGAATTGCGGCATCACAAGGTACCGTGGATCTCCCCGCCATTTTCAGCAACAGAATGACTTATGACCCAGGCTCGACTTTAAGTAGTAGTCCGTCGCAGCAGCTTCCCGGCCGGTCCGGTAGCTACGCACCAAACTCAGGCAGTGTCCAAGTTCGCAATTTAAACCGGCGGAAGCCCGCTACTCCAGGCGCCGTATCTTCCCTTCGGTTTCAGTCAGGACCTCACGTTCCTGCACTGTTTTCGGGGACCCATTTCCAGGGGTATGCCTCGGGCGTGCTGCTCGATCTGATAACTCCATCTGAGACTGTGCGAACGTATGAATGCAATTTATCTTTGTTAGAACTCGATACCTTGCGCTGGCAAAGGTTGGCAGACGGACATGAAATCTTCAAACCCGGTTATCGATGGCATTACTGCACCGTCAATGCAGACGGCACAAGAGTTTGGTTGCTTGGATGTGATCTGAACTCCGGAGCTGGACAGGGGGGCAGTGATGAGAATCACATGAGTGAAATCCTTTGCATTGACTTGGAGAGATACGGGCTGCTGGGAAATGAGATGGGGGCAATTTCACCGGATCAACGAAAGACACTGGCTTCTGGATCCGGGCCCACGTCCCTTTCGGGCCTAGGGGCAGACTTAGCTGCTGTCTTCGATCAAGCTCCAGAATCTGGCAGTGGCGCTGACTTTATCATTACCGCCAACCGCGATGATGATGGAGACCCAGATGCCATGGTAGATGCCTCGTCCTCGTCACAGTCCGAGACTACTTTCTTATCACCGAATGCGGATACGTCGCCTCCAATTCATGTTCATCGCATTATCCTGCAACTGAGGTGGCCCCATTTCAAGCGGCTCTACTCCTCCAGAATGGCAGAATATCACGCAAACAGGATGCATATCCCTGAGCCCTACTCGGTCGTCCGAGCATTTCTGTACTACCTTTACACAGATAGCATATCCGGTCATCCAGAGTATTGCTCCGATATAATCGATGCAGCAGGGATGCTCGTAATGGCAAATCTCTACGACATGCCCAAACTCCGCCTTTTGTGCGTAAATCGACTAAGTCGCGAACTTGATGTCGAGAACGCAGCCATCGTCTGGGAACGAGCGGGTCGAACAAACGAAGAATGGCTGATGCGCCGTGCTGCGCAATTCTGTCTCGCGCATTGGGGCCGCATCGTGCGGACAGACGGCTTCAAATCTCTAAACAAACAGAGCATGATCGAGCTGTGTGAAGTAGCTGATACTGAGGGACGAATTATCACAGGATCCGAACTGGAAATGGTGGGTGTCTTGGGGGCGGATGGGCTTGGTTTGAATCGGGATCTGAAGCGGCAGCAGCTGGCGCTTGGTAATGCTGGTATAGATGATGATGATTACGATGGAGAGGATCTTGAGGGGATGGAGATTTCGTGATGAAGCACGTGGGTAATGGGTGCATTTCGGCGTTGAGGCTTAACGGGGCGGATGACCTAGTTGTTTTGGGGAATTTTGGTGCATCGGTACGGGCTTATTTAAACAGTTCGAAGAGTTCCCATGAAATCGTAATGATTAGATGCCTACTATTCGGATGCCACGCTACGAAGTAACAAGGACTATCAAAGAATGCAAGGTGCAAATGCAATCACTTCCTGCTTGAATAACCAAAAATCAAAACAAAATAAGGAGATATCATCTTCTTTATCCTCGCTTAGTCCTCCCAGATCAGAAGATGCCGAAAACAATTGTTGCTCAGTTGGCGCGTTTTTCTCTTTCCCCTCTCAACTGATTGTCAGCGACTGTTGTGGTCAGCCCTAGCCATATGTTTGAGTGTTAAGGTTCCGAATTCTACCACATAAAAGCCAGCAAATACCTCATGATCTATCGTCCGAAACATTCGAACTCTACGTGGCATACGTGACTTCTTCATTAGTAAGTTAGTAGAGCGCGGCATTGCAAATAGCCATGGTTAGCAACTTTCATTTATCTGAGAGTACAACTGACAACCACTCGATAGGGGATAGAGAATGTCTCCTAGGGGGAACACTCTCCCGTGGCCTTGAGCTCCTGCAATATGTCTTTCAGATCAAGGATACACAGTCCTGGTCTCAACAAATTTAGGAGCATATTGAACGACCAACGCTCAACTTTCAAGATGAAAGCCTGGGTAATACAACACATGATGTGCGGCAGCAAGGGTTACAAGAATTAAGTGAAGGTTAGCGCGGCCCACCACCTTTTAAGGGTGAAAATAAGAAGCATCCACTGCTGTCATAGACAATAGCATGGCGGGATTCCTAAACCACTGCGTGGCTAGCTGAAACTAATGGTGATATCCGCCGCTAGGGACACATAATGTGGGATGCGGCACGGCTTGAGCGCACAGGTGCAAAGTACTTGTTGCTTTGGAAGCAGGAGAGGTGCTGGAAGGGCAAGGAGTGGAATATTCTGGATTATATAGTACCAGTATAGTCCTAGAAAAGAACAAAGATACTTTTTCTTGTTTGTTCTGTGATTTATCAAATTTTCTAATGATGTAACCTATTAAGTCCATGTTTCTATTCCACATCCTACTATCAAAGCGCATATCGAAAATGCCTCGACTCCATATCAGTCAAATCCTTCAACCCATCCAAAACCGCCTGTGCATGAGCATTTGCGCCATTCCCCGAACTCCCCCATAAGTCTGAACATCCGTCCCTGTCCCTCCTCCAATTCTGCCCCCTCATCGATGCATAAATAACCCCAGCGAAAACCACTATCCCCGCATAACAAACCAACAACCCCGCCAATGCCGAGTAATACCGCGGCGCCTCCCTCTCAAAGAAGATATTCGCCCCCGCCACATTCCCAGCTGCATACATCGTAAACCACAACCCATTAGCCACAGACCTCTTTGTATGCCCGGCCACATTCGTCGTCAGTATATTCCATGAGATAATCACCGGCGCCCCCACGATATACTGCAACCACGTACACCCCACCAGTGTCCAGCGCTGGTCCAGCCTCGTGAAGCGGATACCCAATAGTCCACCAAACGGGATGAGACAGACACCCGCGAGGACGGCGCAGCGGGAGTTTGGGATAAAGGTTGCAATTAGGCCGCAGAGGGGTACGATGAGGGCTTCGAAGGCGCCGGTAGGGAGTTGCAGAAGAGTTGCATTGATGCCATTGAAGCCGTAGCCTTTGATTAGGGCGGAGGCGAAATTGGAGACGCCGCCGTTAATTATGCCGCATGCGATGCCGACAGCTATGCATGAGAGGACTTTAGGGTCGTAGGCAATTTCGAGAGCTTGGCGAGGTTTGAGTTCTTTGGTTTTAACGCCGATCATGTTTGCTGCTACGCGTTGGACGGCGACGATGCGTTGTTTGTGAGTGAGGAAGTGGGCTGTGTTTGGTGAGTCGGGCATTAGGCAGAGGAAGACGCAGCCGCAGACGAAGTTTAGGAGACCGAATGTGAGGAAAATTAGTTGCCAGCTGTGTAGTTGTGTGTTGTGGGAGTGTCCTAGACCGAAGCCTAATAAAGCTCCGAGCATTGTGGCTACACCATTTCCGCTGAGCCAGGTGGCTAGACGGAGGGGTTGTTCCGAGCGTTTGTAGTACATGGATGTGATTGTCATCACTGAGTGTGTCAATATCTGGCTCCTACTACTTTGGTAACTCGATAAGGACTCACTGCAAGGACTTACACCCGCCTCAGCCATCCCAAGTAAAAATCTCAGAACCAGTATCCCAGCATAATTCTTCGCTCCCACATGTGCAATGAGAATAACAGCCCATATCAAGATCATCCCACCCATGTACTTGGCAATTGGCAGACGCTGAATCAATAGATTCGCTGGGATCGCCCAGAATAGGTAGCCAAAGTTGAATATTGCTGCGACCCACGAGTAGCGCTGGCCTTGGAGGGTGAGATCGGGGATTAGGGTGTAGGCGGAGGCGTAGTTTAGGGATAGTTTGTCTGAATGCCGTTGATGAGGTTAGTTTTGATACCATATTCTCCAACGGGGAGGTTTTTTTTTTTTACCTAGGAATTGTATGACATAGGTAACATAGAGCTATCCATCAAGAGCTATCAGGAAATGCATGTAATCATGTGCTGAGGCAACTCACAATAGGCATAATCCGCCAATCCAGTATCTTGCGCACTCGAGCTCCTTCTTCTTCCAGTTCTTCAGCTGTAAATTGAGCAGCTTCTGCATATAGATCAGCGCCAATGTCATGGATGACTCCGGTAGCGTAGTCATCGTGTTTTTTATCCGTTTCGGTCGTTGATGCCATAGCTTCGGTTTTAGTTTTGATATCAGACATGCTGACATATATCTGAGGATTAACAATATGTCTCGAAAATAGAGCAAAAGAAGCATATGTAAGGTTCTTATGTCTGGCTTGTTATCATCTGTAGGTAGATAAGGATGGGCATTATCTCTCGGCATGGTGATCGGGCCCTGTATACAAAAGACTGAAATGCGGAGGAGATAAGTCAAAGCATCGTTATTCGAAGTTGATCCGCTTTGTCTTAGATTAAGTACACCTTTAAACGCCTGTCTATATCGTTCATCGTGAAGTAAAGGGAGCATAAACACGCGAAACGCATACACATACAATCAGATGGCTCTGATAAGTTCAGTCGTACATTCCCACACAAGGTCTCAGTTCTTGGTCCATTTTTGTCCAGTAACGTCAAATCCGATCATTTGCGGGTCGATGTTTAGCGTTCTGAGCATGAAGTCCATGGTAAATTCCTGTCAAATCAGTATCATTTTTAAAAAACCCCAGAATCGCACCCGGAAAGTAAAATAGGGAAGCATACCTCATTCTCATCGCCCCTCTCTTCCTCTTCCTTGTTACTCTCCTCTTTCTCCTTAGCAGCACCTAACTCCGCTAGCACCTCCTCCTTCCTCCTCACAATCCCATCTTCATCCCCATAATCAACCTCACCCCCGGCCGCCTCCGCACTCCCAAACCAATCCTCCATCTCCTCTCTCTCCCACCTCTCTTGCTGACTCCTCATCTGCCCCCTCCAAGCCCCCATACCCCCCATCCTTGCAACCCTTTCCTGTGCCCCCGTAAATACTTCCTCCGCCGCGTCCTGGCTAATAGCTTTCCATTTGGCAATTAGGGATTCAAGTTCTGTTTCGCGGTTCGAGGACTCGATGCGAAGGGCTTGTTGAGCGGTGTCGAGGTCGGTGTGGAGGGTTGCGAGGCGGGATTGGAGGCTGCGGTGGTGTTTTTGGAGAGCGGATATTTCGGGATCGAGGAGGATGGAGCTTTTTTTGGTGGGTGTTATTGTGTTGGTGGTGGTGGTCTTTCGTTTGCGGGTTTGGGAGGTTGGGTTGGAGGTTGCTGTGGGAGTTGAGGTTCGGCCAGGTGTGTTTATTTCGTCTTTCTCGGTGATTGTACTGCGTGGAATTGCGGCTGTGGATGACTTGTCGTCTCCTTTCTGGTTGTTTGCTTGCACTGGCCGGCGGAGAGGTGATTTGAACGGTTTGGTGAGCGTGGATGTCGCGTTTTCGAGACGACGGCGCTTTCCGGACATGTTGACCATTATGACTTTAATATTCTCGACCAGCTCGTTACATGGTAAGAGCCAATGGTGATGCACAGAGTCAAGATGGTTGTGGAGACTCGAGACGAGCGACGAGACGCGCCGGAAATCTGAAGGGTGCTTATCGATAAGACTGATGACATCAATGCATGCCAACTTAAAAGAGTAACACTAGATTATGCCAAGTGATATTTTCAAATAAAAACAGTGGATATGATGAATTCAAAATAAGGAATACGCTGATAATCCTATATCATTATCAATGCCCTATCCCCCCCGCAACCCATTGATTGAACTCCGGCTCCCCAGGTCTTGGGAAGAACCCTCGATCATCCGCATTCCCTTGAGCCCCCTGGTTATCGGCACCATTTCCATTAGGTCTCTGGCGATTTCTTTGTTGTCTGATGTATATCAGCACAAGCAGAGTCGCAGCCAAGGTGAATATGATAAGGCCTTCGAGGAGGCTCTCGTCAATATCAAGCTCCATATCATCGTAATACCCGTCATCATGGCCTTCCTCGTGTGCATCGCCGCTGGCTCCCAACATTTCGTCTTCTTCGGCTCGTTGTCTGTACATTTGGGCTCGAAAGCGGGCTTCTTCTTCCTCGTCATTTTCGATGAATGCTGTGACCCATTCTTTGAAGGTTCGACGGGGTTTCGAATCTGAAGTCATGATCAGCGTATGCTTCGGTAACATGCAATGTGCAAGGACTTACCTTCTTCCTCCTGAATGGGTTTAATATTGCCATTGGTGATGATATTCCAGTAACTCCGCAGCCGGAGCTTAATCAAGCTAAGCTTCACTGGCAGATACGCCTCAGAGTTAATTTCCAGCGCCAAGTCATAGTACCGCTTGGCCATGTGGAAGTCCTGGTCAACTGCAACTCCGTTCTCATGCATCCAACCAAGGTTCCAATAAGCCTGTGCACTATGATGAGCCTCGGCAGCTGTATGGTAACAGGTTGAGGCCTTCTCAGCGTCAGCTAAAATACCGGTCCCCGTGAGGTAATAGTCGCCCATCTTGATCAAGGAGTCAATATTCGCTTGCTTAGCCGAACGAGTCCAGTATATCATAGCTAGCGCGGCATTCTTGAGTAGGGATGACGAGCGTTGCGGTCGACCGGCGTTTGTACCATACGAAAGGACGGAGTCAACTGGCAGCAGGGAACGCTGCTCATCGAGGAGAAACGCGACATTGGCCTGAGCGTTTTCGTATCCTTGCTCTGCGGCCATCATTGAGGCGATCAGAGCGCGCTCTTTATCCCCGTCTTTGTACGCATTATTTGCTTCAAGAAAGGATGAGTGGATGGCTTCTGCCCGTTCCGCGACCATTTTATAGTACGATGCGGCCATCCCGCAGTGTCGCTGTCTGCCCACTCCGTTGTTGGACATCTCAGCCAAATAGTAAAATGCTTCCATCCAGCCCCAGTGCGCGGCTAGCTCGAAGTATTTCGTGGCCGTAGAGACGTCACCTTGATCAAGGAATAGAGCACCCAATCTTGTTGCCGATCCTGGGTAGTTCTGCTCCGACGCGGCCTTGAAGTATGCAGACGCTTTGTATGCATCCTGGTTGACACCGTATCCATGAAGATACATCAGTCCAATTTCATGTTGGCATAGCGGGTCCCCGTTAACCAATCCGCGTTTGAACCAAGTGAAAGCCGTGCTGAAATTCTGCTCCACGCCCTCACCACGAAGGTACATCAACCCGATATGACCAGCTGCCTTGGCAGCCAATTTATCAATTCCCATGGGATGATTGGGGTTGATGGAGCCATCTTTATTCCAGTAGCGTCTCGCAACCTGCTTGAAGTACTTCAGAGACTTGTAAAAGCTCCGGGGCATGCCTCGTGCTCCATCATAGTGCATCTTGCCCAGGCTAAAGGTGGCTTTCAGCTCTCCTTTCCTCGACATCAAATCTAAGTACTCCAAAACATCTTCCAGGCTGGCCTCGGTGCTAGACTGCGAGTCCCGCAATGCATTCGGTCCTGAACTCGACATGCTGGCACCTTCACCATAGACGCCCCCCTCTTCATCAGCCCAGCGAAATGCCTCGCGGATTAAATTATGGCCCCCAGGCGGTCCAGAACGATAGTACTGGATGGCCTTGTCCGCCACCCTCTTGTAATAATAGGTAGCCTCATCGCAGTCCCGGGGAGCTCCAATGCCAGCATGATGGCGATAAGCCAGCGTCATCTCAGACCGCGTATTGCCTCCCTCCGCCGCAAACGTATGATATAACAATGCTTTCGCCTGGTCGCGCTCAACGCCGCCTCCAATTCCAGTTGCATACATGAAACCCAGCATATACTGCGCCGTGCTGTTTCCCGTCGAGTACGCGAGGTTATCGTACCATTGGAACGCCTGCCTGAAATCGCGAGGGTGCGTGAAGTTGCCGTGGAAGTTCATCTCCGCCAGTAGGAACATCGCGTCGGGGTCTTGGTCCTCTTGTGCCGCGATCTCCAGCTCCTTCACGGCCTTGGCCACATTGGGGTTGAATTTTCGTGTATTCGTTTCCTGGGAAGGTCCATTCATGAACAGGATTCGGAAGGCGCCTTTGGTGTAGTGTAGAGTGTAGCCAACGATACCGTATGGCTTGTCCGATTGAACGGTCGAAAGTCTAGGGTCACGGAGGATCTTCAACGCGGATGTAACATGCTCTAGACAAAGTAAAACAAGAAAATTCAGCCATCGCTATTCAAATGTATTCCCAAACAATTCTCCAACTCACCATTCTCTGGGCGCGCGTCGGTAGCCCCGCCGGCTCGAGGCTCCGCGGATTCGCGAGCAATAGCTGTAGATGCAGACGCATCATTTGACTCAACCACAAGTGCCTGCAATAGAACTGCGCGAACAAAATTTGGCAAAGGTCAGCGTCTTCATTTCCTTCGAAGTTATCTTGGTCTCTGCGGAGAGCTACTTACGCAGCGCCAAGGGAAGAACGAATCGCCATAACCACTTCATGGTGACTGATATCAACTCGGTGTAATCTGGGGTGTTAGACGCATTGCGACACCTGACATTCAATCAAATATACCTATGTCGAATACTCGTTGTTGATAGTCGGGGAGATAACATCACAGTTCCTCTATCGGAACAAGCCACCTGTCCCGCGGAGCTTCATTTCGCCGACGCCAAGCTACTCAAACTACAAGTATACAGATCTACGTTAAGACATGAACTATTGTTCTACTAGGGCTGAAGTTTCTCTGTATATTTTTTTTTTTTTATATTTTTCTCACTATTCTGTATACATGATCTGATGGGAGTAATACATTCAATCAATAACAATATGCTTCATGAAAACAGACACCACTCATTAGGGGGAAAGCAATAGATAAGCTGAAAAAAAGAAAACACCAACTCGAGAAACGCTCCATGAAGGGGATTTTCAAATCTAGAACACTTTGGTATTTCGATGAGCTTAAAGAAAACGTCTGTAGCCAATCCACCAAATCATTCACAATCTCCGAAGGCCGGCTGCGAAAAGAGAAATCAAGAGAAAAAGAAAGCTATTAAGGGGAACGCAAGAGAATAGAAACAACACCGTTTTCAGGCTGGAGCATGAAAAGAAACATACATTTGACAAAAGGCCGCAGACCCCCAGATGGTGAAACTAAAATAACCAACCAATTCCGTGCAGCTGAAATATGATGCAAAATGATTCTTTTTATGTTTCGTTCGACAACATGGGTACAATAATACAACGAAGACCATAGGAAAGCAAAGCAAGACACAACTAGCTTTACTGACGTGGAGACCTATCATGAATGTTAGTCAACCTGAGAACTTTTAAAATTCTTCAGGCAAGACAACTTACGTAGGGCTGTATGCTGGTGAAGTAGGGCTGTAACTGGGGGACGTCGGCCCGCCAGGAGACGTAGGTGAGCCAGCAAAGTTTGGCGAAGTTGGTGAATACTGCTGAGGACTGGTAGGTGACCAGCCTGGAGATGTGGGCGTATACTTGGGAGAGGTAGGTGAAGTGGGAGACAAGTGTCGGGCTGCACCACCAATAGCAGGACTAGTCGGACTGTAGCTAGGTGACGTAGGGCTGAAGGCAGGAGAAGCCGGACTAAAGCTTGGCGATGTCGGGCTGTAGTTGGGCGAGGTGGGAGAAAACCCAGGCGACGTCGGAGAGTAGGACGGAGACGTCGGAGACGCTTGTCCATATGCTGGCGACGTAGGCGAGTAAGCAGGCGACGTAGGGGCGAACGATGGACTAGCAGGAGAGAAACCAGGCGATGTCATGAAACGAGGACTAGTGATAGACATGCCAGGCGACGTAGGAGAGTAACTCGATGTCGGAGAATAGCCAGGAGACGTTGGACTTGTGTTGAATGGGCTTGTGGGGGAGTATCCAGCCGGACTCGTCGCCGCTGGGCTGAACCCACCGAACCCAGCAGATGGCTGGTAGTCTGTAAAGCCACCAGGAGTCTCGGCGCCGGCCTGGCGAATCGGGGAGAAGTTCGATTCGGGGTCGGGAGTGCCGATGTACGCACTCTCCTGCATGGGAGAACCAGTGTCGTATTGGGTCGCAGCACCATCAGAGATGATAGCATCCTTGGCACCGATTGATCCCATAACACCATACCGTGCGTTGTTCGAGACAACAGTATTTAGCAAGTTCTGATCCAGGTAAACGTCGAACTCTCCCGTACCGGCTGGTGCCATCTGGCCAAGAATTAGGTTCTCGGAAACACCGCGGCAATCGTCAAGCTCTCCAAAGGCGGCCGCCTCCAGGAGAATTTCAACCGTCTCTTCGAAAGAGCAACGCATAAGCGCACCATTGTCCGCACGGTTGATACCGTGACGAGTAACCGGGGTCAAGTATCCACGAACGGTCATAACATCGACCAGCAACGCCAGGTGACGGTGGTTGACATACGAACCGTCGAAGGCCAACACCTGTGTCAATTCACGGAGGACCGCTGAACGTGCAGCTTCGATACCAAAGACTTCGAAGACTTCGATGAATTGGTTCGAATAGGTACGCGAAGCGTCGACTCCAGGAATCGCCAGAACTGCGCCCAAAGAAGAACCGCTGGTTTCGAGAACCCATTGTTTACAGAGTGGGTCTGTCCTGCTTGTGAAGAGGGAGCCATCTTCGAGCACTCGGACGTTGTTCTTCTCGTTGATGAATGCTCGGTCAACGCCCGGGACACCACGAAGAGTAAGAGTATCCAAGAGATGCTGCTCCAATTTCTTGAGTGTAACATCGTACTCAATGTCATCATCCTCTTCATCTTCTTTGCTATCCTGAATTTGACGGATACGGATAACCTGCTCATCAGCGTTGTTGTCACTGAAGAGAACTGCGATATCCTTAGGGTAAGCTTGCTTGATTCTCGACGCAACGTCCTGCACTGTAAGACCCTTGTCAAGAAGCGAAGGTCGACTAAGGATGATACGTAACAACCATTTTGATTGCCGAGAAGAGTCATCCGTGACATCTTCTGGGATAATGAAGTAGGACTCTACCATATCCCTGTCGTTCTCAATCACCGTGGTCTGGATGTCGGGATCGTAGTAGATTTCGGTAGCTTCGGTAACCGATCTCAGACTGGTGTGCTCTACAGCACTACGCAGTTGCTTGGCACCCTCTTTGTCGTGTGACTTTGTAGGCTCCTGGTACACAGTCATCGACGGAGTCTTGATATTCGTGGCGACGTTAAGAATTTCTTTGATACGAGGTACACCGAGAGTAACGTTCTTGGCTGAAACACCAGCAAAGTGGAAAGTGTTCAATGTCATCTGCGTAGCAGGCTCACCAATGGACTGCGCAGAGAGGACACCGACCATCTCACCAGGACTGGCAGCGGCCCTTGCGAAACGGCTTTCGATAGCACCAATCACGTGTTGGAATGCGAGCTTGTTCATTGAATATTCGGTGACAAGTCTCCGGAACGCCAGTCGACTACGGAGCTGCGCCTTGAACAACAAAGTGGCGTTCTCCTGGGCCTCGTGGGAAATAGGGTCATCGCCACGAACAACCAGAAGGCGATCAAGCAGCGACTGGACCTGAGGAACAACCTCTGCAGGATGCAGGTCACTGATGGTTCCGTCGCGAATTCTAAATGTGTTTCTTGCCATTTCAAGGATTCTTTGCACATTGATCGGAAGCTGCATCATTTCTTCGTCTTCTTTTGCAACGGTACGGAGGAATGCACGGTCTTTGAGAAGCGCTTCCCATTCCTCGTCAAGGTACCGCTGGACTTCCATATCACCTGCGATTTCGTTGGCCTGCTCCAAGACGTCAGGTCCAAGACTCCGTTCTGGGTCCATGAGATCAACACGGAAACGGTCTCTAAACTTGTCATCGGAGCACCTAATGATGTCGACACGCTGGTTCTCAATGTGAGCACCATCGAGACCATCTTCACCGTAGATAAATTGAATAATATCGCCCAAAGAGTTGCGGACAGTGCCATCATACTTGACGGTAACCTCTTCCAATGCCTTAACCAGCTTACGCTGGATGTAACCAGTTTCAGCAGTTTTGACAGCGGTATCGATAAGACCCTCACGACCAGCCATGGCATGGAAGAAGAATTCGGTTGGAGTCAAGCCACGCAAGTACGAGTTCTCAACAAAGCCACGGGACTCTGGCGAATAGTCGTCCTTGGTGAAGTGCGGTAATGTTCGGTATTTGAAACCGAAGGGAATACGCTTTCCTTCCACGGATTGTTGTCCCACGACAGCAGTCATCTGAGAAATGTTGATAGTCGAGCCCTTAGATCCAGAGCGAGCCATCTGAATGGCGTGGTTGAGGTCCTTTAAACTCTTTTCGGTCTCGCTACCGGCTTCATCACGAGCATTGTTAAGAGCGCGCGAGACCTTACTTTCAAAGGTTTCTCGCACGTTCATACCGGGCAGTGGCTCAAGCTGGTTCTCCGTGGCAGTGGCAGTGATTTCTTCAACCTCTTTCTTTCGATTGCGGACACAGTTTTCAATTCTCTGAATTGTAAGCGCGTCTGGGATCGTGTCACCGATACCAATACTGAAACCGTTGTGCAGCAACCAATAATTGACGATGGCTTGAGCGCCGTTGAAGAAGCCCACTGTAGCGTCTGTACCATATTCATTGAAGATGGTGTGTATAACACCACCACCGCTAGCACCGACAGTCTTCTTGGAGAGCAATCCATACATGAGCTGGCCTCCGTGAATAAGAAGACCGCCGTCGGCTAATGGAGAAAACTTCTCCGCGAGCGCAGAGTTGTCCTTGTCCACACGAAGAAGGTTCAACCCAGAGGGAAGCGCCATACTGATCATCTGTTTCCCTGTCCATCTGGGTCTAGGCTTTATAATAGCCGGTGGTGGGATGACTCCGTCCCAGTCAGGAACCCAAAGCATAATGTTCATAACCTGCTCTTTGGTCAAGAAGGTGTCCCGCCGACAAACCTTGTAGATACCACAGAGTGTGTCTTGGACGATACCCATGAGGGGACCATTACGCTGAGGCGATACAATGTTATGGGGAACCAACGCAAGCTCGCTGAGTTCTGCGCGGGACTCCTCGCTCTGCGGCACGTGCAAGTTCATTTCGTCACCGTCGAAATCAGCGTTGTAAGGACTCGTAACAGACAAGTTCATTCGGAAAGTCGAATACGGCATCACTCGTACACGGTGACCCATCATAGACTCCTTGTGAAGAGACGGCTGTCGGTTAAACAGAATGACATCGCCATCCATGACATGGCGTTCCACTTTCCATCCATAAAGAAGCTGCTGACCGCCGGCCCTTCTCGCATGGCGAAGGTCGATACGTTCACCATTGTCTCTGACTATATAACGAGCACCAGGGTGCTCATTGGGGCCGTTTGAAACGAGATGTTGCAACTTCTCGATATTGTACGGCGTAACAACTTCAGGATAAGTCAAAGTCCTGGCAATACTCTTAGGCACACCGACTTCATCAAGCGACAGATTGGGATCACCCGTGATGACAGTACGAGCGGAAAAATCCACACGTTTGCCCATTAAGTTTTGCCGCAGACGACCTTCTTTACCCTTCAACCGAGAGCGAAGAGCCTTAACAGGTCGGTTCGATTTTTGCATGGCCTTAGGTTGACCAGCAATGTCGTTGTCCATGTAGGTAGCAACATGGTATTGCAACAAAGACTCGAACTCGCGCACTACGTGCTCAGGAGCACCTTCCTGCTCACAACGTTGAACGTTCTGGTTCGCTCGGACAATTTCAGCCAACTTGTAGGTTAAATCATCCTCACCACGCTGGCCACTGGTGCTACCACCAACAAGAACACTTGGGCGAACTGGAGGGGGCGGAACTGGCAAGACGGTAAGGACCATCCATTCGGGACGAGCATAGTCGTTGCTCAGACCCATGATGCGAACAGAGTCATAGGAGATATTGCGGAAGACGTTGAGAGCAATCTGCGGAGTGATGGTCTTCTTCTCGGGCTGTGGCATATCGTCCTCCTCCATCATGCTCTTGCTGGGCTTCCATGTTCCGACCAACGATATCCCTTCCTTGCGAATCGTAGGTTGAGCATTACCGCAACCACCATGACCACTGCCCTTTTCCTTGCCCTCTTTCGAAAATGGGTCCTCCTCATCCTCGGGAGGATCGGCTTCACAGACCAACACGTCCTTGGAAAGTCGCCAGATCTGATCGAAACGCCTCTTCGGGTCTCTCGTTCGCAAGGCTTGGAGAAATCTAGAGTCATCCTGATTGAACGATGTCAGCAAAGGAGCCATGGTAAGATTTGCCATCCCAACAGGGATGACTAACCGTTTTGGCTTTGATCTTTCCACAGTTGTGGCAGACAGTTTCCAACAGTTTCTTGATCTTGGTCAAGAAACCTAAACATGAATGTTAGCACAGGCCCTGGTCACTGACAGTAACGAAGATTTTCCTCAGAACATACCAATATGATAAACCGGTGTTGCGAGTTCGATGTGACCGAAATGCCCCGGGCATTCCTTTTGACCTTCTTCGCAAGTCTCGCAATTCCACTGACGATCGATCGTACCCAAACGAGGATCATTCAACCCCTTTGCTCGCGGTCGCTGCCGCTGCTCATCCTATTATCAACGTGTCAGCAGTCTCAAAACACCTGGAAAAAAACAAAAGAAAAAAAGCTGCAAACCATTGTCTCCGGGTATTCGACATGGACCACACTCATCCGTTTGATCTCCTCAGGCGAGAAGAGACCAAACTGAATTTCCTTTATAGTGCGCAGTGGCGCCTTGGAGTATGGGAAGTAAACGTTCGACATGATGACGGATAGTCGCGTCGGATCAATCTAACTTCGGGCTGACGTGTAGATAAAACGAGTCCGTAAACGCAGGAACGAGGTCGCGAAAAACGTATCCGATCGAAATGAATCGATCGACTCGGACGAGTAATCGAAAAACAAGCAGGCGAAATGAAAGATAGCAGTTGTAAGCAGCTGGGCCAACTGAGGCCTTTGGCAGCCCTTGCCACGAGGGCGCCGACGACCTTATTTCACCGACGTCAAGAAAATCGAAAGGGGGAAAGAGCGAAAATGGCGATCACGATAAAATTCCGCGCCTTCTTTAGTCCATTAAACGATATCGCAATGCCAGATGCGATAAATTTGGGGAGTTGGGCGATGGCCAAGCAGCGTGTCGGGGAGATGAAAGGGAGATGGTTGGAGGTTGCCTCTCGCCGATGGGGCACGAGTTTTCTCGAGCCTCAAGAGTGAGTTGGTCACCTCTCTAAAAATGCCGGTACTAAAGCCAATTTCTTGGCAATTGTTCACTTTCACCGCCTTAATGGCCAATCGGAGTAGTTAGTTTCGGCGTTGCTACCAACAGGTGCTCCCTTTTAAATGGGCTCTGACCGCCTTCTCTATTCCCAAATGGCCGCCAGTTTCTACTGTAACATTTACGATTCCCTCGATGATACAAACGATCTCCACCAGCAGTGCTCAATGCTAGTTAACAGTCTGCTCTCCTGGCCTATTCTCCCAGGCTAGGGAATTTGTCTCTCTTCTTGTGTTCCTGCTTGAAATGATATATTCACCACAAAATGAATTTGTCTCTCCTTGATCCTTTTGTCCTAGCTCAGGACTACCCGGACACCTTGACGGAGAAGCTGAGTATGTATTTACTTTGGCGGTAATCAATGATACTTACTGACCAGGTACAGGGAGCGGCCATGCAACCTGTTTACGCTTTAACCGCAAAGGCGATTATCTAGCCTCCGGACGAGTTCGTTTCCCAAGGCGGTCCAATACCGAAACGCGAAATTGACCTTTAATACTAGGTGGACGGCACAGTAGTGATATTCGATGTCGAGACAAACGGAGTCGCACGCAAACTGAGGGGTCATACCAGGCAGATTCAATCGTTAAGGTTCGTGTGGCGCCGGAATATTTGAGAGAATTGAGACGGTTAACCTGGCAGGTGTGCAGTTGGTCCAGAAATGGCCGGTACCTTCTCAGTTCGTCGCAGGACTGGAAATGTATTCTCTGGGACATGAGAGATGGTTCGCGGGTGCGAACTGTCCGGTTCGAAGCTCCTGTGTATATTGCGGAATTGCATCCTTTTAATCAGTATGGCCCTTCCTCCTCGTTAACCTACTGAACCGTCTCATCATTGCATACTGACAGCTTACTTGCCTAGTCTACTTTTTGTCGCATCTCTCTTTGAAGAACAACCAGCTCTCGTCGATATCTCATCACCAAAACCAGTTAAACGAATCCTCCCCTCCGCTCCTCTTCGTGCACCAGAAGTCGATCCAGCAGTAGCCGCGAAACAAGCCGCTCAAGATGCGAAACACTCGACTTGCGTTACAATCTTCACTGCGCTCGGAAATCATATCATAGCCGGCACATCAAAGGGCTGGATCAACATCATCGAAACAGAAACCTGCGCAACCATCCACTCCACCCGCCTCTGCAACGGAGTGGTCATCCTCCTCCGCCTCGCGAGCAATGGCCGAGACCTCCTCGTAAACAGCTCAGACCGTGTCATTCGAACAATCCTCATGCCCGACCTCTCCCAACTAGGCACCGACCTCGAAGCCGCCAATATCAAAGTCCAAGTGGAACACAAATTCCAAGACGTTGTCAACCGCCTAAGCTGGAACCACGTCGCCTTCTCCTCAACCGGCGAATTCGTCACTGCCTCCACATTCATGAACCCCGACATCTACGTCTGGGAACGCAGCCACGGCTCCCTCGTCAAGATCCTCGAAGGCCCCCGCGAAGAACTCGGCGTGGTAGAATGGCACCCCACCCGCCCCATGGTCGTCGCCTGCGGGCTCGAATCCGGCTGCATATACACCTGGTCCATCGTCTCACCACAGAAATGGTCCGCCCTAGCCCCTGATTTCGGCGAAGTCGAAGAAAACGTCGAATACATCGAACGAGAAGACGAATTCGACGTCCACCCCGCCGAAGAAATCCACCAGCGCCGCCTCGACCAAGAAGACGAAATCCCCGACGTCCTTACCATCGAACAACCCATGGACAACGGCGCCGACGACGACGACGATAACAACAGCAACAGCAACAATGCCGTTGACGCCTTCCACATGCCCGTGCTACTAGATATCTCAGATAGCGAGAGCGGCGAAGACATCATCGCAGTGGGGCCCGGCACGATGCGCAGACGTAGTCCCGGCGCGGGCCGTGAGTGGATGACCAATGGCGACGGGGAGACAGGGAAGAATGGCGCCGGCGCTTCACGGGGTCAAAGAGGGCGACGGCGGTGAAGATTCTTTGTGAAGACGGGAGCAAGTGGGATGAATGGCTATAATTGTATCATTTATAGACAAGGGGGTGGACAGGGTCCCGCAAAAGGCAACCCTTTATGTATTGTGCATGTGAAAAAGGCGTTTCTGGGTGGGGTTTTTGTTAGCTTTTTACCTGAAGATAATATGGCTTTTTATTGTCTTTGACGCCCGTGTAATATAGAAATGATAGATTAGTCAGGAATAAAACCAAACTCACACAGCTGTGAAAAAGAGGTACTCCATACAGGGTTATATCGGATTGACCACGACTATTGGTCCCAATCCTTGGAACAGCAAAAGCACGAACACCGAAAAGGAAAGCAAAGCAAAAAAAAAAAAAAAAGAAAGAAAAAGGTAAATTGCAAAGCCAAGCTAGCAATATGCAAAAGAATATATATAACAGAAATAAAAAATAAAAATAAAAATAAAGA